GCTGCCGGGCCTGCTGTGTTCATCCAGCCCTGCACCTTGTTGTCTCGAATTCTCCAGCATCTGCAGTTCCTACTATCTCTGTTCTGGAGTCTGTTCACAAGTTAAATTGTACCCAATTTAATGTACATTAAATTACATCACATTAACATCCAATAATACAATGCAGGGCACTGGAAAGCAATTGTTCATAAGTATGGGAAATGTTCATATGTCAGGTCTTTAAAATTACAACCATGTAAACACGAGCATTTGTAAGTTGAGTGTTTGTAAATTGGGGATCCCCTGCCGAGTGCAATAAATGTGCTGTTACATTCAAATGAAATATTCCCACTTGAGTATGGTATCAGAGGTCTATTGAAAGCTGAAGAGTCACATCTCACTGTGTTGCAAGAAAAGATGAAACCTTGTAAATTGGAGAAAATTTGAACTTTTATACAAGCTTTTAAACAGAAGCAAAGCTTACCTTATAAGATTTACAAGAATTTTATTCTAACGATATTCTTTAAAGGAGTGTTTTCTTTTTCAAAAGGAGATTTTGTATTTGAACGATTATAATTATTTATTTCCCTTTCTTGCAGTGGGATCTAGTTTGTGAGAACAATTGGAAAGGTCCCTTTACCATGTCAGTGATTTTTCTAGGAATGACAAGTGGTGCATTCGTCTCTGGACACATTTCAGACAGGTACAGCTATAATCCTGTCATTCAGTTTAAACAGAAGGTATTCTGACTATAGGTCATTGTAACGAGGCAATCTGGTGGGAATGTAAATGCAGCTGATTATTTGTTCATACTCACATCAGTAGTGTCCTGTAGACAGGAATTCTTGACTCGTTAATCTTTGATGTCGGAATAAAAGGGCAACCTGCATAACTTGGACATTGCAAGTTTTTGAAAGCAGACAGCAGCAGCATAGTTTCCACACAAAGGAAATTTAAATTTGCAGGTTCCAATTCAGTTCAGGCACATTTCACTAATCTGGGCTATTCTTCACCTTAAACCATTCAGAATAATCTGAATTTTGGTCAAACTCCATGTGTATTTTTACTCCATTTGTATCATTAGACATGCTTTGGTCTGAATTGGTAATACATGCCTCAGTCAGGATTCCATCTTTTGAGCGTATCAGCAATTTTAACCTCTGACCTGCCTATTGCTCCAGCCTTTGACCGCTGGCATAAAAATGGAAAGTACTAGAAATACTCAGGCATACGTGGAGGGAGAAATGGAGGTAGCGGGCTTCCTTTTACAAGGCAGGCATATTGCTCACCACCCAGTAGAAAATTTGAACATTTAAAAAGACAATACCCTGAGGCAAGCCTTTAATGAGGTGACAGTGCAATTTCTGGCCTGCAGAGGCAGAACTCAGGGGAAATGTGGCCTTGTGGTAACATCAGTGGGCTAGAGTCCCAGACTAATCCTCTGGGAACGTTGGTTCAAATCCCCTCATGCTAGCTGGTGGAGTTTCAATCCCAAAACCCTGAGTCATTTAAAAAAAATTAGTTCACCAATGCCCTTCAGGAAAGAAATTCACCATCTTTGCCTGATTTATGTGTGACTTCAATCTACAGTAATGTGTTTAACTCCTAATTGCCCTCCATATGGCCTAGAAATCTACTCAGTTCAAGGACAAATAGGGATAAACAACTAACTGCTGGCCTTGTTAGTGACACTTATTTCCCACAAAAGAATAAGTCAGCCAAACTGTTCTGATCAAAATAGAGAAGGTTATGAATGGTTGGGGTAGAGTAATTCTTAAAATTAAGTATATAGAAATATAAAATGAAACAAGCCATGTTAGTAACTAAACTTACATATTTTCCTGCTTTTCAAAGGTATGGGAGAAAAGTTGTTCTCTTTGGAGCTATGATAATTCAAACGGCCTTGAGCTTCGTTCAAGTGATCTCCTGGAGTTGGGAGGTGTTCTGCATATTGTGCTTTTTTATTGGGTTTGGAGATATCTCAAATTATGTAGCTGCATTTGTTCTTGGTGAGTTATTTCCAGTCTATATTGTACTATTCCGAAAAACTGCCAGATCTATAATTCATCAGAATCTTAGTACAATTTAATAAACTTAGTTCTTTCTGAATATTTTAAATTTACTTTTTCAATGTTTTGAAAGTAGAATCTTGACAGATTTGACAGAAAGGATTCATTTGGATCCTCCTATGCATATTTCTTTAAAGGAAAGGATACTTAGTAATATTTCTGTGGTAGACCTAGCATGTAAGATGTCTCCTTTTTACAGTGCTAAAATGCATGTTTAAGCTTAAATTAGCATATAGGTCAATAGCAGTTAGTGCATGTACATTTAAGGCTATACATGCATTTGGAGATGGTTACCTCAATTCTTCAGCACAGAAATTCATGTTTAGCATTGTGCTCAACTTATGTCTAAGTGGCACAGACTGTGTTGTTGAGAAGTTGTGGAGACGTTTAAATCAGGATTACACAGAGAAGACAAAGCATAGTAACCGTTGAACAGAGCTGAGTTTTCATGTGAGAAGAATGAAATGTAGAAAGCTGGTTTCAAGCTCAAATTTTTAACATTTGCTAACTCATCAAATGATTGTATTACAGTGAGGCAGTCTGGTGTTAGTGAAAAATTGGCATGAAAAACTGGTTCAGAGATAGTGGGAACTGCCGATGCTGGAGAATCTGAGATAACACGGTGTAGAGCTGGATGAACACAGCAGGCCAAGCAGCATCAGAGGAGCAGGAAAGCTGACATTTTGGGTCTGTGCTGGTAACCTGCCTGAAGAAGATGCCCAAGACAAAAGGCACTAACAGAATAGGGAACTCCCATTGGCCTGACCTTGAGACAGAGCGCTCAAAAATAGATGTGGGTGTCACTGTCTGGGCCAGCATTTATTGCCCAGACAGTGACACCCACATCCCATGAGTGAATATTAAAATTAAAACCATTATCACAAATGCAATACATCAATACCCACTGAAATATTCCAAAATGTGGGTCAAGCAAAACTCTCAAAGCAATAGCTAGTTGATGCAGCCATTTTGTGGTCACACTGTCATATCAAATCGAGTGTGACATTAAGGAGCTCCTGCAAAACTAGAGTCAATGGAAATCAAAAGGAAAACTCACTGCTGGTTGGAGTCATATCTGGCAAAGAGGAAGATGGTTGTGGGTATTGGAGGTCACCCATCTCAGCTCCAGGACTTTTCCACAGGAGCTCTTCAGGGTAGTGTCTTAGGCGCTTCAGAAATTACCTTCTCTCCATCATAAGCTCGGAAATGGGGATGTTCACTGATGATTGCACACTGTTCAGCACCGTTCACAACTCCTCAGACACTAAAATAATCTATATTCAAATGCAGCAAAACCTCGACAATATCCAGGCTGGGTGGATGAACAGCAAGTAACATTTGCACCACCCAAAAGCCAGGCATTGACCATCTCCAATATGAGACAATACATCCACCATCCCTTGATATTCAATATTGTTACTATCACTGAAACCCTAATATCTCGGGGGTTACGTTTGACTAGAAACTGAACTGGACTAATCATATAAATACAATGGCTATTTGAGCAGGTCAGTGGCTAGGAATCCTGTAGCTGGTAACTTGTTTCGTGATTCCTCAAAGTCTGTCTGCCATCTACAAGGCACGAGTCAGGACTGTGATGGAATACTCCCCACTTGCCTGGATGAGTGCAGCTCCAACAACACTCAAGTTTGACACCATCTAGGACAAAGCGGCCTTTTGATTTGCACCACATCCACAAACATTCACTCCCACCACAACTGACATTCAGTGACAGCAGTGTGTACTTTGCATTATCTTCAAGATGCGTTGCAGAAATTCACTGAGGTTCCTTAGACAGCACTTGCAAAACCCAAGACCACTTCCATCTAGAAGGACAGGGCAGCAGATACATGGGAACACCACCACCTGCAAATTCCCCTCCACACAATCACCATCCCAACTTGGAAATATATCATGTTTCCTTCATTGTTGCTTGATCAAATCCTGGAATTCTCTCCCTAAGGGCTTGGTGGATTTACCCATGACACATGGACTGTAGTGGTTCAAAGGCATCTCACCACCACCTTCTCAAGGGCAGCTAAGGACAGGCAATAAGTGCTGGCCCAGACAGTGACACCCACATGCCAGAACTGAATATTAAAAATAAAACCATAATCACAAAAATGATGCATCAATAACCGCTTAAACGTTCCAAAGTGTGAGTTAAGCAAAAAATTTATTTCAATACCTTGTTGGTGTAGCCACTTTGTGGAAAAAAAAGGTGTCTAGAGCTTGCAAAATTGTTCATGTTACTGAAAGAGTTCAATACCATTTTTTAACATATACGCTATATGTAAATCAACAGTATAAAGTAGCTCTTTAAATTCTGCATTAGGTAATTTATACTTCCAGGTAATTTGCACAATTTTGTCCTTAGTCACTCATACTAAAAATAACATATTTCCAAAACACTTCTAAATTGTTTACCTGATTTTAAATGCTTCTTGTATACCACAACATCATTAACCTTAAGAGTGTCAGAGCAGTAAGACACTTAATTAGGATAAACATATGGCATGGGTAAGCATTAGGTGATCATCATATGACTTGATGTCATGTGACTGAATGTTGACCAAATGCCACATGATTTAATCTCCAGGAATTTATCCAATTAGTGTTAGCAACCTGAATTAGGATCCTTTGGAAAACGTGACAAGGACCCATAACACCTTACGCCTTCCAGCTGACAGGATGTGTCTGGAAGCTGATTAACTAATTAAGTGATTTTCGTGCTATTCTGCAAAACTGCATACATGGTGGGTTTAGGTGATCAGGGACTTTCAAAACTATTTTGCTTAATGTTCGTCAGGATGAGGTCATAAATAACTTTATCCAAAGTACACCTACACTACAGGAAAGCATTAATAGCTTGATCTTAAAGCTATTGCACTTACCTGTACCCTGTTTTATAACATTGGTGGTCATAGTGTTCGATAACATGGGGTTGTGGCTGTGAGGCTGCCTCATTGAAGGTGCATCAAGAGCAAGACCAATGGAACGGGAAGCCATGGATGATGGAGACGACAAAGGTTGAGCAGTGATGCTTAGTGACAAGGCAATAAATCATTGAATAGAAAATTTTCTAAGTAATTCTCTTCAGTACACCAATAATTCCTGCTCCCTATCTGACTTAGAGCTTGGATCTATCACTTGGACTTCGTTCGACACAACTACATCATGGCTGTTGTTTTTCTGTAGCTGAGCATATGAAGATCAGTAATTATCCTCAAAATAGCTGACATGACATCTTGTACAATCTGCATTCTAGATTTGACACTGGTTTGCTTTGAGAATACTGAACTGAAATCACCTTAGTGCAATGCTGTAGTCTGGTGGTGTGCTTATTTACCTTCTGTGTTCTAGTGCTTTGTGGGGTGGCTTCCCTATTCTCGGGCAGAACTTTACGATCCAAACAGGAGCACGAAAACAGGCAACTGGAGCCATAAATTAGGTGATCATGCCTTTGGCAGCTTTGTCATTACCTGTCCCCATGTCCTCACCATGATTTTAGATATTTTCTCATCAACCTGTTCTGAGATGTTATGAGAAAGTGAGACTTGAACTCAAGCCTCCTGGTGCAGAGGTAGGCACACTACCACTGCACTATAAGTGCCTCCTGACCATTATTTTAAGTGAGGCAATGAGTGGGCTACACATGTAGCGCAATTGAGACTCTGAAGTGGGAAATTTGTACCCAGTTAAGGGCCTGATCCTGTTCCAATGGTAGAAAGATCCAGCACGTAGCCTGAGAGGTTTAATTCTCTGAGCTGCTATTCAGTAAAGCAGAGGAATGGCTCATTTCCAGGCCACCCATGTCACACATAGGTTCCCTGGATTTTTGAATCCACACATCCAGCCCCTCCCCTGCCCTGTCCAGTGTTTTCCCCCAACTCTCCCTAATAAGGGACCTCTCAGTCTGGCTTCAGAGGGATTTGTCCTTAGCTCAATATCTGTACTCCTGTAGTGCCAGCTGTACTCCTACTCCTGTAGTGCCAGCTGTATTCCTACTTCTGTAGTGGCAGCTCTTGTTTGACTCTGTGTGAGTGAGCAGAGCTGTTGCTCCCCACTTGGCCAGCAGTTTCTGCAGACAAAGGGAAACACTGCCTCCAATTAGTTAAAGGGCCGCCACTTGAAACATGAAAGCAGTGAAAGCGAATAGACTTTGTAGAGGTAGGCTTGTGTCTCATATTTCATTTGGGGTCGAGGGAGCCCATCCTCAGCGTATAATGCAGACCATTGTCCTGTGGATAATGGGATGACTTTCGGGGCTGTAGTGTACTGAAGGTCCTTGGACCTAACTCTCATAAACATTGAGATTGATGTGATGAAATCAATGAGGTAATCTGGAAATTACAAGGGAAGAAACATGGCATCTGCAGAGTTTACCTCGATTACAATTTATTGCTGTCCATGCACAATACCTACGTAACATCGGCGGGACTCTGCCGTGCAAGCTCAGAGAGATATAAGACACTGGACTGAACTGGAAAGCAGATGAACGTTAGTCATTTGCATTCCGCAATGTCTGGAAGAAAAGCTATGATGCTCTGAATTCTGTCTATGGCCCCCAGTCTACTGGTTCATCACCAATCCTGGATGTCAATGGGTCAGCACTGCTCACAAAGAAAGCTCATACTCTAGAAAGTTGTGATGTGAAGGTGCTGATGTTGGACTGGGGTGGACAAAGTCAGAAGTCACACCACATCAGGTTATAGGCCAACATGTTTATTTGAAATCACAAGCTTTGGGAGCGCTACTCCTTCATCAGGTGGAGCACTCCCATGCTGTTAGAGATGACGAATGCAATTACACTCCTGTCCAGGAGTTAGCGCTGTCTTAGCAGAAGCTTACAAGCCTGGAGGTCAGTGCCTGGTCAAGAAGCTGACTAAAAATTTTCAGTTTGTGAGGGAGCAACAAACCGTCCTGCTAGAATACAAATGTATCTCCATTAGCCACCTGTACAAGCAGAAAAATATTTTCCAATTTTGCCACATAGAACATAATTTTACTGTTGCTTGCAAATTCACTGGGGGTTTCCTTCAAAGCTGCTTAGTGCAACATTTATGAAAACTAATTCATGAGCCATGGGCACTGTCATTAAAATTGTGAGTATTGTGAGTAAAATTGTGTTTTGAAGTTAGATTTCTGGAACTTCAACATATGCATTTGCAATAAATAATCATGGTTTTGAATGTTGATTATCATCTAATTTAAATGATTTTCTTTCCTTCACTGACCAGGAACTGAACTCCTCGGCAAAGCTGAGAGGACTGCTTACTCGACACTTGGTGTTTGTATGTTTTATGCAGTAGGCTACATTATTCTGCCGGTCTTTGCATATTATATCCGGAATTGGAGGATGTTACTGCTAGCTTTGACCATCCCAGAGGTTCTGTATATTCCTTTTTGGTGGTGAGTTACTTATATTTAGCTGTTATGAATAGTAACAACTTATATACCTATCACATAACTTTTAATTCCACAAAACATCCCAAGATAGAAAAAAAAGGAATGTTATGAAGCAAAATATGACACTAACCAGATATGTTTATATTGACATAGATAAACCTGGTCAAAGAGGTAGATTTTAAAGGTGATGTAAAGGAGGAAAGTGAGGCAAAGAGACAAAGAGGTTTGGAAAGCATTGGGAGACTATCTGTAGTGCTTCTGGCCTGTGCAGAAATGAGAATCTTAAAATTTTAAGACATTTTTAAGCTCAAACAGGAGCCAATGTGGTGACAGGACTTGGTGTGAGAGAGGTATAGAGTATTGGATGAATGTAAGATTGTATCATTTGGAAGGTGGGAAATGGACAAGGAGTACATTGGAGCGATCAAGGTTAGAGGTAACAAAAGCAGGGATAAGTAGATGGGGTTGGAGCAGAGATGGAATCAGGTGATATTTATGAAATGGAAGTCTTGGTAATGGTGCACATGTATACTTGGTAGATCACGAAGAGATCACCAAGGACTATATCACCAAGATAGTGAACTAACTGCTTCCCCCTTAGACAGTTGCTGAGGAGAAGAATGGTGTTAATAGCTATAGAATGGAGTTTATGCCAGGATCCAATGACAATGTCTTCAGACTTCTCGATTTATTTGTTAATGGTTCACAGGATGTGAGAAGACTAGCACTTCCCATCGTGTCTCTAGAAAGCTTTCTCAAATAAATTCATCTTAACTGTGTCTCACCATCAGAGGCACTGGGACTAATCCCAAGGGCAGGGGTGGTAGGTGATGGCTAAGCAGAGCAGGAGGGTATCATTTTAATCACAACCAGCCCTCAGGAGTGCTGTGGAACCAGAAGAACTGTTGATTCCTTGTGAAGTTTGTTGGTGGACATTGTTGGTTTGCATCTGTGGCTGGAAGACCTGAATAAGGCATTTCCTTCTCCTCTGAATTGCCAATCTCAGGAACATACTCAGGGACCCAAGACTATTTCAGGAAGCCACAATGGATGTTTGAAAATTGCCCAACTTAATCGGATGATCAGCAAATTTCAAGTGGTTTAGGTAATGTGAGACTTCAGCAGTAGAACGGAATGTTCTGACTCCTGTGATTTGCTCTTGACCTGGCACATCTGCAGGAGGACAAAAATAGAGATTTGAGAGGACTGCTGTGTAATAAAGTTTACATACTTTCCAGTAGGAGGAACGGCATGAGGGAATGCAATCAAGAAAAGCTGAATGCCTGACAAAGCTGTAGCTTGGCAGCTTGCCCTCTGTTTACTCTCTTGTTCCATTTCACTGAGCACGGTGGCTCATGTTTGCACATTCTCCCTGTGTCTGCATGGGTTTCCTCCGGGTGCTCCGGTTTCCTCCCACAGTCCAAAGATGTGCACACTAGGTGGATTGGCCATGCTAAGTTGCCCATAGTGTTCAGGGATGTGTAGATTAGGTGGGTTAAAGGGGATGGGTCTGGGTGGGATGCTCCAAGGGTCGGTGTGGACTTGTTGGGCCGAAGGGCCTGTTTCCACTCTGTAGGGATTCTATGATCTTTAGCTTTCACCATTTCTGTGTTGGAATGACATAGCAGAGATTGGAAAATCCATCATCTGTGGCCAGGCCTACTTTTTCTGCTAATTTCTGGTGGCTTTTTCTGTAAAGGAATGCAGAATACACTTATTTAAGATAGGATATGATTGTTTTGGAAGTGAAGAAGTTTCAGGAATGAAGAAGATATCTTATGAGGAGTGGTTAGATAGTTTGGGCCAGTACCATTGGAATTTAGAAGAATGAGAGATGAAATAGAGATAATGGGAACTTTTTTCTGTCAGAGAGTTGTTAGTCTGTACAGCTGTCTTGCGCAGAAAGCATTGGAGACTGAAGTTTGAATATGTTTGAGGATTTTGGGTAGACAGGGATTTACTGGGATTACATTAAGATCAGTTATATTGAATGGCAGGGCAGAGTCAAAGGTTGAATGGCTGCTCTTCCTTCAAGTCCTATGAAATGCAGACACTTCTTGCTCTGCCTAATGCACAATGTGATCTTTCCACAAATGGCTAAAGATCGCAAGACACCTGTATAGATGGCACAATTAGTCAATCCTGCCACAACTCTGTTCATAAGTCTTTGAAATGTGGTTGGTGCGTTCTTCATTCCAAAGGGCATTACGTTAAATTGATATAGCCCATTTAGAGTCACAAATGCAGAAATTTCTTTCTCTCGCTCCGACAAAGATACTTGCCAGTAACCACGAAGTAAGTCCAACTTTATGGTTTAAGTGGCTTATCCAACTTTTTCCACACAGTCCTCCAGCTTTGGAATTAGGTATGAGTCCGATTCAGTTGCTATGTGGACGTTCCAATAATCCACGCAGAATCATTGAGTACCATCAGGTTTGGGAACCAACATGATCAGCGTATTCCACTCACTTTAACTTGGCTTGATGATGTCTTCTTGGAGCATCGCTTCCACTTCCTTCAGTACCTGTGCTGTTTTGAGAGGATTAAGCCTATGCGGGGTTATTTTGTCAGAACAGCATTCCCTACTTCAACCTCATATACTATAATATTAGTCTCCCCATTCTATTCCTACATATGTCCTCATATTGTTGCAACAAGCCTTTCAATTCAGTTCTCTGTCCCAGAGACAGTTAGCTCATTGTCCTATCCCATTCTTTAAGGACTTCCTCATTATTTAATTTATTTTGAGGCCCATCAAAATCCAAATTATCTGGAGTTTATTCCTCACTCTGAGTGGCAGTAACTAATACCTGTTTCTGCAGTTCTCTTTCCCTGTCATAGTAAGATTTTCAGAATATTCACATGACATACCTGATAACTTTTTTCTCTATCTGGCATCCTTACCAGATAGTTCACCTGACTGATAGGGACCACTTAAACCTTGCTCTGAAGGGATCTCCTACCACTGGTTACAGGACTAATACTTTATCCCCATGGGCAAATGTACAAATTTTAGATTTCTTATCTGCTTCATGCTTCATTACATACTGTGCCAACTTCAAATGTTGTCTAGCTAATTCACTTACTGTGTTTAATCTTTCTCTCACCTCAAATGTACAATCGAACAGTGAGATCTCAGACTTTGGACCTATAAACTTTTCCTTAATTAATTTTAAAGGCCCTCTTACTTCGTGTCCAAATATCGATTCAAATGGAATAAACTGAGTCGTTTCATTTGGAGCATCTCTAATAACAAACAATTTAAATGGAATACCTTTATCCTAATTATTTGGGTAATCCTGGCAATAAGCCTTCTGCATGGTCATTAAGGTCTGATGCCACCTTTCATATGCTCCCCGCAATTCAGGATGGTACACACTTGATTTAAAGTGTTGGATGCCTAAACTATCCATGACTTCTTCAAATAGTTTGGTAGTAAAATTGGACCCTTGGTCTGACTGAATCTCTTTGGGTTGTCCTTAACGGGTAAAGAAAGCAAGCGTTTCCTCCATAACTTTTTTTGCCTCGACGTTCCATAATGGAATTGCCTCCGGGAATCTGGTAGACACATCCATTATGGTTCCCACTTTTGGTTTTAGGGAGGGGACCCACACAATCAATCATAATCTGCATGAAATGTTCTTCAAATTCAGGACTTGTATCAGAGGTACTGGTTTTATTACTGCCTGTGGCTTTCCTACCATTTGATATGTATAGCAGGTACAACAAAATTCAACCACATTCTTAAGTAATCCAGGCCAAGAGAAATGTTTTTTTTACCTTAGCCTGAGTCTTCCTCACTCCTAGATGACCTCCTACAGGTAATTTGTGTGCTACCCGCAATACTTTCTGTTGTATACTACAGCAACACAATCTAGTGCACTTCTGTCCATTTCTTCTCTGCACTAACCTGCTGAGGTCTCCATTTCTGGTTTAGGATTCTATTCTTAAAATAATAACTTCCTGGAATATATTCTGAGATAGTAGGGACTGCCGATGCTGGAGTCTGAGATAACAAGGTGTAGAGCTGGCTGAACACAGCAGGCCAGGCAGCATCAGAGGAGCAGGAAAGCTGATGTTTTGGGTCAGAAATAAAGAAGGGTCCAGACCCAAAACATCAGCTTTCCTGCTCCTCTGATGCTGCCCGACCTGCTGTGTTCATCCAGCTCTACACCTTGTTATCTCTGGAATATATTCTGATTCCTTTTCTGAGTAGGCCTTATGATATAAAGCTTTTACTGTCTCATCTTTTTGTTGTAACTCCATCAGTCTTTCAGAACTAAACACCTCTATCTGATCCTCTACCTGTTCAGGTTTTGCCTTTACAATTTCATCAAACAGGGTGTCAGCTAACTGGGCCTCAACTACTTCATCTTTCTCTTTAGTTTTACCTTCTTGCTTTAACTTATGACTGTGAGATCTTATCACCACACAGTCCCAAAAATTTCCAGGGTATTTTTCTTTTAACTCCTTAGTTCCCTGGTTTTCCTTTGGCTTCTCCACTACAGTTACAAGAACAAACTGTATTCCTGGAATAAACACTGTTTCAATCACTCCCACTGTCACATCACCAGTCTTGATTGAGTTTTCTAGCCTTATCTTACGCAGGGGAATGCCAAATATCTCTCCATTTATTCCACAGATTATCACTCTCTTGGGTAACACTTCAGAAGGAGTGCAAATACTTTCATCTCTTACTATTAGAGACTGGTTAGCTCCCGTATCTCTCAATGTTTTAACTTCTTTACTTTGTCCCCCTGTTCTTCCTGAGTAAACCGTACCCACAGTGGTGAGGTCTTTGTAGAGATCAGGCAGCATCACACTATCTAGCCTGTGACTAGGCTGTGCACTCTCCTGCAGCTCCTCTGCTTCTTTTGGGATTTCCGCCACTACCTCAACTAATCCCACTGGTTTAGCCTCTTTTCCACATCCTTTTTCCCAGTGCCTTTCTTAAACCATCGGCACTGTGACTTTCTGTGTGTCCCCATCTATTATAGTGGAAACACCTGAGGTCTTTCACCTCCTTTTCACCCTCTTGGTTTTCTTTTTTCACCTGTGGTAAACCGTTCCCAGTGTAATCTACTTTTTGATTTTCATTGATGGATCTCCATTTCTCCCAAATTCTATCCATCATGGAGAGGAATTGCTCTCGGAAGCTAGATTTTCATTTGTGGACTAATGCGTATTCATCCACCATCTCTGCAGCTGTTCTTGCTGTTTGAACTTTCTGTTCCTCAGCATGAGTTCTTATCATTTCTGGAAGTGAATTTTTAAACTCCTCTAGCAGAATAATCTCTCTAAGATCCTCATATGTCTTTTCTATCTTAAATGCTGTCACCTGTCTATCAAAGTTGCTGTGTTTAATTCTTTTAAACTCGACATAAATCTGATCTGGTTCCTTCCTTGTATTTCTGAACCGTTGTCTATATGCTTCTGGTACCAATTCTTAGGCACTCAATGCAGCCTGTCTGACATCTTCATAATCTCTTGACACCTCATCTGACAGCACTGCAAACGCCTCACTAGCCCTGCCTACCAACTTGGTCTGAATTTACATTACCCACACAGTCTCTGGCCAATTCATCTGTTTAGCCAATTTCTCAGAGGAAACGAGAAAGGCTTCTACATGTTTTTCACTGAATTATGGTAATGTTTTAACATATTTATGTATATCTCTACTATGTCTTTGGCTACGATGGATTTGTGGTTCATCATTCTCCTCCTCACTAAACCTATCTTCTAGCTTCATTTCTATCCTTTTAAATGGACTTTTCTGAAATCATTTGCAATTTCCAAATTTCAAACTCCTCTCTCTCATTTTCTTTTTGCTCAGCTAAGAACCTTCTCTCTCTTTCTTTATCTCCTAACTCCATTTGTTTAATTTTCAATTTATTCTTTTCTAACTCCATTGTACTTGCCTGTTTCTCTGGTATATCTAAATGTTTGACTAACTCCTTTACAATTTCATTTTTCCTCTTGTCCCTAGTTAAACCCAAATTTAGCCTGTTTGTGAAGTCTGAAAATATATCCTCGCTCTGTCCTTCTAAACTTTCTTGGCAAATTTGGAAAGCATCCTCAAATCCCGGAACATCTTTAGCAATGTTAAGAGCCATTTCCCTCACTTTAGATTCAATCAACCACAAGTCACCAAAATTAAACAGATTTTCCACTTCTCCCCTAAGTTTTATTTAAAGATCGATGACACTGAAACCCAAATCTGTTTAAATCTGTCAAAATCCAATCAGATCTCTTCAGATCCCGTACACGAACTGACCAGATCCCAGACTTGAGCCCCTAATCTGTTACGGAGGAGAAAACAATGTACCTCCAATAATTGAAATTGAAACACAAGACCCCAATCTGTTATGGCGGGAGTAGAGGTGCCCTTCTAATAATTAGACACAAAAACACCCAGTGACCCTTACCTCACCTCGCCTAATCAGCTAAAAAGGAATGATGAAATGAAAGAAAATCCCTGATATTCACTTAATAAGCAACAACTAACAATTTATTTATTTAATCCTAACAGTGAACAAATTAACAGAACTACTAACAAATTGAACAATTCCCTTCTTAACTACCAACTATTCACTAACTGAACAAAATTCTACTGGTATGCTGTTCTAATAAACACACTTATATAAGCCCCAGTAATAATAAAAAGAAATTAAAACTCAGACTCTCAAAGTTCATATCGGGTGTGTCTTCTGGAATGTTCTGCCTTCTCCGCTGTCTGTTCAACCATAAATGCCTTTTGTCCACTGATCCTTCTGTCAGGGATGTTTTCTTTGTGAATTCTTCTGTGAGGATTTTTAGCTAGAAGTGCTGTGGTACCTTTATGAATAGACAGTGCTTTTCAGAGAGCTTAGAGTTTTCTGTGAGAGCCATATACTTACTCTTCAGATGGCAGTACGCTCTCACACCAATTTTCAAAAACCCTCTTCTTATATGCTCCGGATGACATGTCAATTTTCTTATAATAGGATGGGTCTGAGGTTTACAAAACTATCGGATTTAAATTCAATTGGTTTCCAATCTGTAAGTGCTTTGATTAAATTAATTGGCTGATCTTCAAGCTAGTTGCCAAAATATTAAAACAAGCCCAAGGTTTACAATCTCACAGCCAATTGATACATGTTTCAATTTCAGAACTGTCTGTACCTCTCCAGCTGCTTAATAATATGTTTGTTTAAATCTCCAAGCTTAGAAAAGCACATCACCTCTCAAAGGGACCACATGTTCTTTCCCCCCTATTAGTTTTACAAACAAATTCTGACTTCTTGCCTTCTAATTCACAAGTACTCCTATACAACTTTGCAACAGAATGTAAAATGTACTTGCACAGAGTTGAAATGAATAGTGTAGATTCAGATGAAGATTAAACAAGGGTATGAGGGCAAAAGGAAAAGAGAGCTATTCTGGTAATTTTTGATGAGGAAATACAGAAGGCTCAAGTTGAGCATAGATGCCAGCATGGACTGGTTGGATACATGGTTTGTTTCTGTGCCAGAGATCCTATGTAATCCTGTGTAATGTGTTATTGGAAGCTATACCTATTGCCTTGCCTGTGAATATCATCCTTCCTGCAGCGTAGAATTGACCATGTGATGTATGGAGTTGTGAGATTGGCACACTGTGTGATGGCCACACCCTGTAATGGACTGTCTTCAAAGATACTGAGCTCAGATTGAAGGAACGGTCAGGTCCAGGTTCAGGTTTATTTGCCACGGCACAATGCAGCCACAAAGTTCTCCACTGGCATGGTGCCACCTTTGTCTGTCTCAAAATGACAATATGTATTGCAAATATTAATTTAAACAGTGAAGTGACTAAAAGTCACTAATTTGAAGTCAGTCTTGACTCAGGCTTGACAAAGAAACTTGGCTGAGCAAAAGTGATTTGACAGGGTTACTATTTCCCTATCCTCTTTTACTATAATGACCCGAATACCTCCATTTCTGTCTTTGTGGTCCTTGTGGGTGAAGGAGGGTGTGGTGTGAATGGTGGAATGAAGAAATTACATAGCTACTCAGAACATACACCGCAGAGATAGGCTGTTCAGCCCACCTGGACCGCACTGGCTTTTATACTCCATAAAGAAAATCCTCCCACAGCACTTCACCTGACCCAATTGACACCAAGTTCTGTACCCTTCCTCTTATGTGTTTATCTAGCTTTCCAGAAATTTAACAAGAGTCAGCAGGTACGGTAATCGGACAGGCAGAACCATCATCCTGTTGCACCGTTACCATTGCTGACTGCTGCATTATTTGTACTGATTGTTTTTTTAGGCTTATACCTGAGTCTCCAAGATGGCTGATTGCTCAAGGTCAAGTGACTGAAGCAGAGAAAATAGTGCAAGGCTTTGCTAAGAAAAATGGCATCACCCATGTTGGGGTGGTATTTCAGCAAGTCGATACCAAAGAATATACGGTAGTTATATCCCTTTCTTTTCTCTCTTTCTATCTTGGATTGCTATTCAAATATATCAAGATCAAGCAACAATATATCCAGGTCTTTAAAAGTCTAGCACAGTCTATATTTAATTATATTTATGAGCCACAATAGCAAAATAGAAAAAGATTATTTAGCACTGCAGCACTTATTCATGTTCATGCTAATGTTCTGAGATTGCATTTAATTGCGGGGCAGTATCTGGGGAATAGTGAGAGAAATTTGATTGGAGATAAATTAGAAATTGGCCTTGGGTTGGTGGGTTGAGTTTGCTCTTTCTGCTCTAACTTCTGTGATTCTAAACAATTCAAAGTTGTTTCTTGATGCGCCAACCTTAGCATTCTGGAAAGGTAATTTACTTCCAAATAATTAAATAGGATAATGAATTAAATTTAAGCTAAATCATGTTCCAATATGCCTCTTATTCTGGTATATAATCTCTTTCTCTAAAGTGGTACTTAATGCAACTTAATGAATATGACTGAGAGACCAGAGTAGGCCAGCAACGTCTTGAATCTCTTCTGCCTTTCAGTTAGTTCATGGGTAATTTGTATTTAACTTATGGCTGTGTAGACCTGAGTACTCGTCACTCAACAACACTCTGTCAATCTGAGTTTTGAAGTTTTAAATTAATCCTTTGACAGTCTTCTCGGCTAAAAGGTTCCAAATTTTTATTATCCTTTGCACGAAGAAGTGCTTCATGATCTTGACTCCTGAAAGGCCCAGCTCTAATTTTAAAATTATGTCTGCTATGACATGTTTTCTAATTTCACCACCAGAGGAAACAATTCCTCCCTCCTGCCAGCTAAATTCTTTAACCAACTTAAACACACTTCAGTTAGATAACCATTTAGCTTTCTGCCCTCTGCACTCATTTGCTAACACTCCTTGAAGTTTGATATGTTTAGTTCAGAAGTTCAAACACAAGATACCGAGAATGCTGGAAATCCGAACTGAAAACAGAAAATGCTGGAAATATTCAGCAGGTCTTGCAGTATCCATGGAGAGAGAAACCGAGTTAATGTTGCAGGTCTCGCATCAGAATAGAAAACATTTTGAAATATAATAGGCTTTAAGGAGGTCAAATGCAGAGCAAAGATCAAAGGGGAGATCTGTGATAGGGTGGAACTTGGGAGGCATCAAATAGCAGAAGTGTTGGTGGAACAGAGACAAGGCAAGACAAGTAAAGAAATAAAAGATGTGTCTGCAGGAGATGTGCATGCTAGAACACTGAGCAGCTGCCATCGAAAAAAGATCTAGTCAATAAGCCCCACTCCCTCAATATTCCTCTGGTAGCCTTGCAAATGTTTTCTCCCCAGTTAACTGTACAATTTCGATTTGAATGTCATGATTGAATCTTCCTCCACCATACTGTCAGGCATGTGTTCCAGATCCGGGCAACGCGCTGCATTGAAAAACAGGAGCTCTTGATCCCACCTTAAATCTTTATGCCAATCACCTTAAATTTGTGTTCACTGGCCCTTGACATCTCCCCCATGGGAATAGTTTATCCCTGTTGACTCTGTCCAAACCCTTCATAATTTTGTACACTGCTATCAAATCTCCCACAACCTCCCTTTCTCCAAAGGGAAAAGCCGCTGCTGCACCAATCTATTCATGCAACTGAAATTTCTCATCCCTGAAACCATAGTCATGAGTCTTTTGGCATCCTGTCTATACAATCCATCAAGTCTATTCTGCTGTTCAATGAGATTATGACTGATCTGATAATTTCCAACTCTACTTTCCTGCTTTTCCCCATAATGCTCCATTCCATACTGATTAAAAATCTGTCTATCTCAGCCTTAAATATACTAAATGACCCAGTCTCTGTAGCCCTCTGGAATAAAGAATTCTGAGAGAAGATACACTGCAGAAATTCACCAAGGGTCTTAAGACAGCACCTTCCAAACCCACGACCACTACCATCTAGAATGACAAGGGCAGCAGGTACATGGGAACACCACCACCTCCAAATTCCTTTCCAAGATTCCCACCATCCTGACTTGGAAATATATTGCTGTTCCGCAATGCTGATCAGTTCTGTAGGTCTACCAAAACCAAATGAACTGCATTGGTTCAAGAAAGGAAGGCAATGGCCTGGTGGTATTATCGCTGATCCAGAGACCTCGGTAACGTTCTGGGGATTAGGGTTCGAATCCCGCCATGACAGATGGTGGAATTTGTATTCAATAAATAATTAAGAGTCTGATGATGACCGTGAATCCATCCCCAATTATTGGGAAAAACCCATCTGGTTCACTAATGGCCTTTAGGGAAAGAAACAGCCATCCTTACCTGGTCTGGTCTACATGTGACTCCAGACCCACACCAAAGTGGTTTAGACTTAACTGCCCTCTGGGCAATTAGGGATGGGCAACAAATGCTGCCTAGCTAGCGATGCCCTCATCCTGTGAATGTATAAATAAAAAGAAGGCATGGTGGCTCAGTGGTTAGCACTGCTGCCTCACAGTGCCAGGTTTGATTCCACCCTCCGGCAACTGTCTGTGTGGAGTTTGCATGTTCTCCCCGTATCTGCGTGGGTTTCCTCTGGGTGCTCTAGTTTCCTCCCACAGTTCAAAGATGTGCAGGCTTGGTGGATTGGCCATGCTAAATTGCCCGTGCTAAATTGGTCTGGGTGGGATGCTCCGAGGGTTGGTGTGGACTTGTTGGGCCGAAGGGCCTGTTTCCACACTGTAGGGATTCTATGATCTATGATCTAAGGCAGCTCTACTTCAGCGAGGGATGGGTGATAAATACTGACACAGCTAACAAAATCCACATTCTTTGAATGAATTTAAAAAAAAAATTCCTCCTCATCCCAGCTTTAAATGGGCATCCCCTACTCTGAGATTTTGCCTTCTCTTCTTAGACTCTCCCACAATGGGAAATAACTATTCAGCATCTACTCTGTTAGGTTCCCTAGGAATCTTCTATGTTTCAATAAGGTCACCTCTTATCCTTCTGAACTCCGATGAGTACAAGTCCAATCTATACAACCTCTCCTTATCAGAAAATCTTTCTATTTCCGGGATCAATCTGGTGGATCTTCTAAACTAAATGCAATACTCCTGCTGAGACTGAACCAGAGTCTTCTAAAAGTTCTGCTTACTTTTGTGCTGTTTGCCTCTCTTTATAATACCCTGAGTCTTATTTGCTTTATTAATCACCTCCTCTGTCACCTTCAATGATTTGTATGCATGTAATTCAAGTTTCTGTTGCTGCACTCATTTTACAATTGTACCTTCTAACTTCTATGGTCTTTCCCTTTCCTCCCTACCAAATTCCCCATTTCACCTCTGCATTGAATTTCATTTGCGACCTATGTGTCTGTCTATTCCATCAACCTAATTTCTCTTAAGTCTATCACTAACCTCCTCATAGTTCACAATACTTCTCTTTAATTATGTAACTTTACGTTATCTTTAACTTTTTATGCTATATTCTGTATACCCAAGTCTAGGACATTCATGTATTTTAAGAACTATTGTGAGGCTAGAACTGACCACTGTTCACCTTCCCACAGTGTGAATAATAACCCCATTCACTACTAATGTTACCGGTCACTCAGTCAACAATGTTTACATGCAATTGCAGAACCTTTGCACTTATACCTCCTCCCTGCTCACTGTTTAAGGTCCCAAACACACCTTCCATGTGAAGCAGTAATATATTTGTGCTCTTTCACATTTGTCGACTGTATTCACTGTTCACAGTGTGGCCTTCTCTACAATGGAGAGGCCAAATGCAGATCTGAGGAAGCGTCACTCAATCTGAAACGTTAACTCTGATTTCTCTCCACAGATGCTGCCAGACCTGCTGAGCTTTTCCAGCAATTTCTGTTTTTGAAAACAAATGCAGACAAGGTGGCCACTTTGCAAAACATTTGCACTCAGTTCACAACAATGACTCAACCTTCCAGTTGCTTGCCATTTCAATACACAATCTTTCTCAGATGTTAACATTCCTGTCCTCTGTCTGCTGCAACGCTCCAGTGAAACTTAATGAAAGCTGGAAGACAGCACAGTTTTCCGCGGAGAAACCTTACTGCCTTCTGAACGCAATACTGGGAACCATAACTTCAGGTCATGAATAGTGCCCTCCATTTTGATTATAACCTGATGTTTTATTGAATTCTTTGCTCTCAATACAGGTCACCTATATTCTGCTGTTAACACCTACCATTAACTCCTACTCTTCACTGATATTACTTCTCCACTACCATTAGAACTACTTTTGCCTTTTGTTCCTGGCATGTGCACTATTTATTCTGTTTGCTCCTCCTCTCCCTTTCTCTGCAGCATAAGACTTTCCCAGGCCTCCCTTCAATTAAAAAAAAAGTCATATTGGACTCAAAATGTTATTCTGTTTGTCTCTCCAAAGATGCTGTCAGATCTAATGAGTTTCTCCAACACTTCTTGTTTTTATTGTGTAACCATGGTAACTGCTTTTATTCCATAAGTTCAATGTTGTTGGGAAGCCTGTTATGTGGTACTTCATCAAACACCTTTTGACGTCCATGTCAAACACAACAACTGCATTTCATGACCCCTCTATATTACTTCATTGAAAAATTCAATCAAATTAATGAAATACAAATTGATTGAACAAGCTGTATTTCCCTAAGTCACATTTGTCCAAGTGACAATTAATTTTGTGCCAAATTATCATTTCTAAAAGTTTTTCCAGTGCTGGGGTTGAACTGACTGTCTTGCCATTGCGGCACTCATCCTTGGGTTGTTTTTTAAACAAGAGCATACTGTTTGTAATTTTCCCATCCTCTGGCACAACCAGTGTGTTTAAGGATGTTTGGAAGATTTTGCCCACTGATTCTGGAGTTTCTACCTTTCCTTCACTCAGTGTCCTCAGGTCCATCTGATCCAATCCTTGTGGTTTATCGACTTCAATTACAGTCAGGTGCCTTGAATTTCTTCTTTATTAACTTACAGTCTGACCAGTATCTCAGTTGGTTTCTCTTTTATCATGTCTTTGACAGCATCTTCTTGGTAAACACAGTTGCAAAGTGCTTATTTCTTACTTCAGTTATGCCCTTTACTTCCATATCTCCTCTTTGATCTTTAATCGGCCTCACCATTTTTATAGTTCCAACCAAATAAATTCCTTCCTTCATTCTTCTAGGGTGTTCTTTCTCCACTGTAATATTCTCAATATTGCTACCCTTCTCGATCATCATTTGTTTTCTTCTGTAGCTTTCGTAAACACATCTTATCCATTGTCACTATAACATGGTATTTCCACTTGTTATTTGCATCTGCTGTTCACAAACTATGTTTACCACCCTCCAGCCATTCACATAGATACGCTGTAAAGCTAAATCAGACCTTACTATATTCTTTCTTACAATGAGCCCACATAATACTTGATTATTTCTAACACAGGTGCCCTGTCTTCAAATACTTTGCTCAGCTTTCTTCTTCTTACTGTCTAATGTTACTCCCTTGTTCCCAAATGCTATCAAGTTAGTTTACACCATCCCCAATAGCACAATCAAACCACTCACAAACAATGTTGCACTAAACACGCAGATGTTCCATGCATGGCAATCAACATCGGTACATTTTTTCTCACATCACCCATGCTTCCTTTGCACATTCCTTTAAATCAATGCCTGCTCTTTTGTCGACAAGCAGGAACAGCTTCCCCCTATCTATCTATCCTGACATTTTGATTTTGAAAATCTTCATCAAATCTTCTCTCAGCCTTCTTATCTCCAAGGAAATCAGTCCCAACTCATTCTCATTCCTGGAACCATCCCTGTAAAATGCCTCTGCACTCACTCCAATGTATTCACATCTTTCCTATAATGTAGGACCCACAACTGTATTCCAGCTGAGGTATTACAAAACTTTTGTAAGAGCTAGAATCTTGAATCCCTGGCCTAAGAGTGTGCTGAAGGCAGATTGCTCCTGACTTTCAAAGGAGACCTCGCAAAGGAAACATTTACAGAGGTACAGTGAGATGTTGGGAGAATGGGTGAGTTGTACTTGCAGTGAGCTGGCACAGACATAGCAGGACCAAAAACAGCAGTTGCTGGAAAGGCTCAGCAGGTCTGGCAGCATCTGTGAAGGCAAAAACAGAATTAACGTTTCGGGTCCGGTGACCCTTCCTCAGAACAGACATAGCAGGCCTCCTTCTGTATTGTGATTATTCTATGCTCTGTTCTCAGTAGATTGGGAATAGTTTTATACCCTATTATTGCTACTTTTCTTTATAAATCTTGATGGACATAGGCCAGAATACTGTCAACAGAGATCAATAAAATATCTTCAACACTTTTTGCGATAAAGGGAATGTTTTACTTAAAATGCGGTGCTTCCAATCATCCGTGTAACTAGAGCATGTATACTATGTAAGCATTGAAAATTCATATGTTTTTTATGCTTTCTTTTAGCTTCTGAGTTCCACAGCTAGGCAAAAACATCCACATAATTTCTTGGATTTGGTTAGAACTTCAAATATACGGAATATCACAATTCTATCTTTCCTTGTGTGGTGAGTACAGACTCTATCAGCAAAGAGCTCTCACCAAAATATTTAACACTCAAAACTGTGTCAGTTTGTTATATGTATGATCATGGTGTTTCGCAAAGTGTATGTGGAGCAATATTTGGGATTTCACATGTCAAGATATGTCAACAACACATGTTGGGAGTTAGTCACATTGCAAATTGAGATTCTTGATAAGTTACTCACTTAACGGAATGCCTGCTGAAGTGTTTGACATTGGGCACCTTTGCAAGTAGGTGAACTAATTTACTTGATTTCTTGGCTGCTTGCTGCATAAAGCAAACTAAAGCACAATCTATGAAAGATGCAAAGGAACCCTGTTTGTCAACTGTTTGCATTAATTTAGTGAAGCAATGCATTCATTTAAAAATAATTACAATGAGGAAGCAAAATGACTACTCATGCAAAGGCAAAACTACAAGAAGCGGGCATGAGTGAAAACATAAACAAATGGCTAGCACATGGAATGAACTGCCTGATCTCTAAATACCCATGCAACAGTGGACTTCAAAAACAAAAGGGAATTGAATAAATACTTGAAGGAGAAAAGCATTGCAGGGATATGGAGGAAGAGTGGGCAAATGGGACTAACTGGGACTAAATAGCCAGTGCAGTACTGCACTAATTTAAAATGCAGAAACTTGCAAACACAAAATATACTTTTACAAGGTGTTGATTTGATGCATGATAGCAGACAATGTAAAGAAACATCACAGGGCAGGACAATCTGCTTCTGTAAGTGGCAAGTTTGGAGACAGAATGTGCATTTAATAAGGGTAGCTATCCACCTCCAATGGAATTACGTTCTGGATGGGGAAGGCCCTGGTCAACCTTCCTGCCCCGATGTCAATTGAGGCTCAAATATATTCAACGACAGACCACTGAAGTGTCTCAGCCTGCCACTACCAGGATTAAACCATCAGCTGGTGGGCCTGTCGCCATGCAGTGTGCCACTCTGGCCCACCTGCACCCATGCTTCTCACCAACCTGCCCCTCTCTTCCCATGAGAAATCCCTGCCTCCATCAACCACTGGACAAAGTCCTGGATCCTCAGTGAGCCTGGAGCTCAGAGGATGCTCTTCCAGTAACTTCCAGGCCTCTTCTGTATCACTGCTGAGCACCAGCCTTTCATGGGCTGGCAGCTCTTACTGTGAGAAGTCTAACCCTCTCCCCCTTCCCCCCAGGGGTCTGCATTCCATGTGAAGGTCCCACCAGTGGATTTGCCATTGAGTGATTGGCCTTTGGCTCAGCTTGCCTTCTCTGGAACACAGGTCTCTTGCCTGCTCAGCAGCTGACCAACAAAACCCCTGCCACCTCAACAAGATCCCAGCCTTAGTCATCGTCTCTGTAGTAATTCTATAATCTACAAATTAACTTGCTATCCGAAATGTGTCCTGACTTGTTCAGAGAAGTCAATAATTGTTGAGATATTTGGAATTCTAGATGATGAAAACATCTAAGTGGTCCTGGTAAGTGTACACTTTTGGGTTTGTAAGTTTATTGTAAAGAATTTATACTTACGCATTTTCACAAGTTTCTAAATATTTTTAGTAACAATTACTGAAGTCTCATGGTGTCTTGGAAAGTCAATGAGTGAAAATGTTCTTTACAGGCTCGGTTCTGCACTCTTCCAAGTTTGTGATACCATTCCAAAAGTATAGTGGGCACACAAAATGATGAAACATCTAGGAAGACCATAGCACAACTTCTGAAAATAAGGGACATTGCATCATTTTGTTGGGATGAAGAATTTCAAACAAATGAAGGGATCGTCTGCAAATGGATTTCCAAAAGTGCCAAAGAAACTGGCATGTTTCACAAATGTCTCAAAACTGTGTAGCTAGCCTCTGACCATCTTACTAACAGTGTATCAGAGTAATATATTTACCCGGCATTTCAGTACTTTAAGGCAAATCGTACCTGCCTAATTTGATTGGGTTCTTTGATGAAAGAATTGAAAAGATTGATCCATGTTGTGCGGTAGATGTTGTGCATATGGACTTTCACAAGGCATTCAATGATGTGCCATGCTCAGGCATCATGCATAAGATGGCAGCCCATGTACTGAAAGGGGAAGAGGTGATATGAATCCAAGATTAGATCAATGAAAAGAAGCAATTGATGGTAGTGGATGGCTGTTTTTCAGACAGGGAGGTGGTTTTCAGTTGTGATTCTCCAGGGGCATTTTTGGGTCCATTGTCTAAAATGCCTAACTTTGTTGGACTGCTAAAGAATATTTATAGTGCCTGCACAGGTATGGAAACCATTTGCTTTATTTAAAGAATATCTTAGTGTGGCTTCATCTTCCCATGAGCAGCAAGAAAAATAAACATCATGCGACACTGGATCACTTTTTGTGATGTTGAAAACTGTATATTAGCATTCCTCAAAGTCTATGTACTACATATTCTTGACATCTCCCCATTGAGTCTTTGTTTCCACCCACTATAATACATCTCCCACAAATCTCTGCCTTCACTTTATTTTTGAAAAGACAAACACTGTCACAGTTTCACTAGCCTACCTGAACTTGTTCTCAGTTCCTTTGGAGCAAATTGGGAATTTGAATCCTCCACGCGGTCTTTCTGAAAGTGATGGCAGAAGAATTGACAGATTACTTCAGTCCAGCATTCAGGTTGTCATCTGAAACTTTTGATGGACGCATTATCTCTCATCTGTTTGTGTTGATGACTGCCCAAACTGTATAAAACATCAGTTCAATGTAGATACTAGTGTATATGTGTGCTGTCATACCATACCAGCTTTATTTGAATGAGGTAGGACTTGGGATGTGATGCTTGTTCGACTATTTGTCTTTAATGAACTTGATCTCAAATCCAAACTGGCTCACCTGGTCAGAAGTCTGGTAAGTTGTGGGCTCTGTGATATTTGCTATCGTTCCACATATGACTGGAATGGTATTCATCCCCTTTCTCACTTTGCTCAAATCATCATCTTGTGCATAAAGCGTGAGTCTAAGTGGAAGAGGAAGGTGCTGAGTTCATATGGAGGTTAACTACTTTGGAATGGAGTTTTATTGTAGCTCGAAAGTGCAAGTTGAATGTCATCGTATTCCAGCAATGCTTTTACTGTATGCACTGAGAAAGCTTTCAGTTTTAGCATTGGCGAAAGAGTATCTTGATGTGCTGGCAGTATGGATAAATTGACATGAAGCTATGAACTTTTTGAAGTACTCATTAGCAAACTAAGATCCATTATCTGAGATTACAAAGTCAGGGATTACATGTGTTGTAAAAATCTCTTTCAATGATATGATCATACACATGGCCCTGCACTTATTGACATCTATCCATCCTGAATAGTAGTGTACCGCTATCAAGAATATTTTACCTTCATATTTGATGAGGTCTGTTGCAAGATATGCCCATGGTTTGACGGAATGGAAGCTGATAGCAACAGTTCTCTTGTTCCCTGAGGACAACTAGCTTGAGTAGTACAGCAACTTTGATCTTGCATTGAGGGGTACCTTAAGTCCTCATTTTAAGTTTCCCCCTTAAAAGATTTTTCACTTTAAAGTTGTTTCTTTTTATGTCTTCTCTCCTCATTTAAATTGCCATTCCCCATTTTAATATTACTTGCTTGCTGGTCACCTCAGGCAGCATTATAACTTGCATCATTACACCTCTTACATCATCACATGAGTCACATCAATATATTAACAGCAAGGACTCCTGATTGTGCTGTTAGAGTTGGCGTTATTGTGTCTGCACCCTGCAAAGATCTTTTTTTTTTCAAAAACAGTTCTCTGCTCTGGTACCAAAGTAAACTTTGTTTTTAACTTTTCAGAAAAGATTTCTCGGCTATTTGTACTTGTACTAATAGAGGAGTTGCTGTGGACTTAGTTTTTCCAAGAAGAATTCTATTTTTTACTCCACAGTAATTGAACAGTACATTCACAATAATTGAGGAATTTGTACTGTATCTTACTATACTATAAACTTCTTTAAAGATTTCTATGTAAGCAAAAAGACTGTTTTCTTTACTGAAACTTTTCTTGTTTCCTTTCGCAAATTATTTCAGGTGCATATGTTAGGTACAGTATTTAAACTTTTACATTGATTTTTCCAGGCAAAAAATGTCCTCAGGAACTTAACTCTTGCTTTAATATTGGTTCCATGGGCACCAGACTTCACTTAAAGGTCATTTCACTTAAAGTCATGATTTTCAGGAATATAACCCCAACTTTAAGTGGGGACACTCTGTAGCTGCCAAAAGCCATTATTTATATATAGCTTCATGTAGATTGAACTGTTCCCCAATTTTGCTGAGCTGTCATCCACAGATAGCATATACATTCAACAATTTTTCGGCAGTGTAAGATGTATACAGCTTCTGAGAAATCCATTACATGCTGGGACAATCCCTGAGTACCACGTTTCAGTCTGTCACGGATGTAATAACTCCTTGCTTCACCGTGGAGTCAGTTTCCTTGCTTATCTCTGTCAGGAGTGGATGACAAACCTTTCTAGATATAAACAGGCTTTGTTTCAGCATATAGAAGTGAAATGATTTGCTTATTGCAGCTTCCCTAATCCTGTGGGAAACTGGGAAGATGCAGCCGGGAAGCTTTTAGCCATGATCTTCTCAGCTTTCCAGTTCCTCTACAAATCAGTCCATGTAGGATTTCCTGCATAAGAATGAACAACACTGGTTTAGGATCACTTCTAAAGCTTCAGTGACTTTTTTCTCTCTCTCCTGGCCCATGTAATTCTATGTGTGTTGGCTGAAGAGAACTTTACACCAAACATCATTTAGTATCAGAAAGAATTAAAAGTGCTGCACCTGAGTTTAAATTAAAGTACATCTTGTTGTCCCTCTACTGAGATATCAGCACTCCAGTAGCATCTTACTGGTTCTTGATCTCACCAAGGAAAGGCATCTCCAAAATATTCTTTATTTCTTGGATCTTGGTATCTTTTGAGGACTTCATTTTTGGCTTAATCTGTACAAGTTTCTTCCTGTGA